GCACTTCGTTTTATGGAGATCTCACCCAGCGACCACAAACCATACCAGGAGGAGCCCATCCATGGCAGAGACTCTCCGCTCTCCGCAGTCCCCGGGCGAGATAGGCGACGACGATCCGCAGCCGCAAATCTTACTAGACGGTGTTCGAGTGTCAAGCCATCAACTCGCCGTCGCCGGAACCACCAGCACGTGCCCAAAATATGAAGACTCGGGTGTGTATTATGTATTTACATTGCAGATGAAAACACCCATCTTCCCTCCAATCGAAATCTGAAGTCTCCATGAAAGATGACGCATCAGCTACGAGTATGTGCTGAGTTGTTGTCCCAGTCATGGCTGGACTGGACGACCCATCCAGAACAAATTCAGTAGCTTTGTCCTCTGGCTTCTTCGACATCCTGGCTTTTGGTTCCAAAAGTGGGAGATCGGGCAACTAGGCGGTCGGGTGCTTCCCGTGCATGCCACATTGCCACCCAGTTCCAGTGGCACATGCCACGCATTCACAAATCATGTGAGAAACAGTGGAGCCGTTGTAAGAGAAACTTTAATGAGGCGACCAAACGGACACGTATTTTGTCTCCTTCTGTTTGTTTGTCTTTCGTCCGCGTAGCGGACATGCCGCGGACAGGCGCGGACGGAGGATGCATCCAACGCGGGACACAAATGCGGACATGCACGGACGGAGCAACACCAGTCAGCACCCGCTCTGCACGAGCCCTGTCTCGCCGGCACCGTCGCCATGCCCCTCCTCGCACCGCATGTGCCGGTGCAGGACACGAGCTCCAGCCGCGGCCACATGACGCGAGCTCCAGCGCCGCTGAGATGGAGCACAAAAAGAAGAAGGCAAAATGCATTGTAAAAGGGTTGAATCTTGAAGTAATAGCAGGTTAGCAACAAGAAAAGAGAGAACTTTGTGGCGGTATACCTCACAGCGGCACGTCGAAGACCTGGCCGACGAGGAGGCTCTTGGCGTCGGGCATGCGGTTGAGCGCCAGTATCGTCTCCTCTGTGGTCCCGTACTCATTCGCAATCCCGGCGACGGAGCTCCCAGCAGGCGCAACGTACGTGAGGTGTACGACGGGATCCCCTCCGATAGGGTCGCATGTGCAGGGTAGCGGCACCCAGAACTCCAGCCGCACGACGCGAGCTCCAGCCGCCGTCCGCGCACGACGCAAGATCGAGCCGCCACCGCATGACGCGAGAGTGACCCGAGGCCTCGCCGACGAGGACGAGGGAGGAGGCGGAGGCCTCGCCGTCGAGGACGGCGGCTCGTGGCGGCACTCGGCTGGGTGGTGATCTCGGCTGCAGTTCCCGGTTGAGCGGCCCGTGCTGTGTCACTGACTAGTAGAACCAGGGCGAACACGGAAGGGTAGCAGCGGACGAGAGCGGACGAGAGGAGCGCCTACTTTTGTCTGTCGTGGACCCATTTATGGCTCAAATTTAGGCTCAGTTTAGATCGGAGCGGATGACAAACGAACAACAGGTGGACATGTGCGTCCGTTTGGCTCACCCGTTAAGCTAAGTTTTCTGTTCAGATGACCCAAACAAACAAAATAAATTGCCCCATTAAATTTGCTCTAATTGTTGATTTGGTCGATGGCAGAGGATAATCGGCGTCGTGTACGGTGGTTCTCAAACTAGTGAATCCATCGGATCGATTAAATCGTCACTCTCCCAGTACTGCGGTCGCTGCAAATTGCCAGGTAGAATCGCTTGGACAATATACTCTCTTCATTTTTTATACAAGGCCACAAATTCGGATTACAGGTATCAATGTAAAATTTAATGCCTACTTTACAAGTCAACTTTTCTTCTTGTTTACTGGGATCATTAATACTTCACATGCATGCAAAAAAACTGAGTGGAGGAAGTAGCTGATTGTCATTATGACTGCATTCATGCAAGTACGAGAAAATTCATTAACTTTGCCTCGATTACTGTTGGTGGCTTTGTATAGATGCAAATTGTATATCCCATAGTGGCCTTGTATATAAAAATGGAGGAAGTATTATTCTTTGTTGCACGCAAAGAAAGGAATGCTATCTATCTTTAAATCACCCTTTCAAGTAGTACTCCCTCCGTTCGGAAATACTTGTCATCAAAATGAATAAAAGGAGATGTATCTAGATGTATTTTAGTTCTAGATACATCCCTTTTTGTCCTTTTTGATGACAAGTATTTTCGGACGGAGGGAGTATGTTGCAACCTTTTTCATCTCAAAATCATATATCTACCATGCAAATGATTTCATTCAATTTATGTATCCTATCATGTGCATACGATTGAATAAGAGTTCCCACAGCAACGCGCGAGGTATTATCTAATGTTTTTTTTATAATTAACCCCATGTCTCACCTAGCCCGGTTTATTTTTTCAGAAAATAGGTGTATTTCAAAAAATGTAAATGGTTTGCGTGTCTATAACATTATTTTTCACTAAGCCTAACAAATGTGTGTATTTAGAAAAAAAAAGCAAATGGACTACAAATTCTTAAAAAATGGGTTGCATGTCTGCCACATATTTGGACACTGACAATTTGGGCCCATAAAGTTGAAGCCTATGCAAGACGTTGTCTAATTAGTCAACAAACTTTCCCTAAAAAAATTAGTCAACAAATGACTCTGACAGCTATAGCCCTTGGATTTACATCCAAGGGCTGATGTGCTTCTTCAATCTCTCATCTTTTTCTTATAGCATTGACTGGACCATCTGCTCCCACTTTCGGTGCTGACAAATGCTACCCAAGCGCCAGCCAAGCCACCCCTCAATTCCTTCTGTTATTCTCCGAAGACGGTAACCTCACCCCGCACTCGAACCAGTCAACCCTCATACCCCCCCTCCGCCAGCGACTACACTGTCGCAACTTCCCCAGCTCATGTCTATTCCTGTCAGAAGCCTCTCCGTTGTCCTCCGCCTTGGTGCACTCGCCGCGGGGCCGCCGTCTGGCGCCCTCAACATGGTCAACAGATGAGATGAATCGGGAGAGGACTGTACATGGAGAGAATGACAGCAGGGACCCACCAAGTCCATTATCGTACGCAAACAAGTGCCTCCTTATTAGTACAAGCAAAATGCTTGCTCCTAATGGTTTGTTGACATGTGGGACTCACGATATTGTCATTATATAGTCAATAAACGAGAGAATTGCACAAAGAGCGACTGACACCTGGGACAAAGCAGCTCGAGTCGGTTTTTACTGTTGTTCTTGAGACAGAGCACAATATCAATTGGGTTGTGCGGGGTCTGTGGCCCGTCTAGCCCAGGATTTCATTTTATGTTTACAGCATGACCCATCCAACTGTTTTTTCTTTGTGAAAATGGCTAGCCAAGCTTTATTTGTTTTGGAAGAATAGCCAACCCAGACCGATTTGTTTTTCTCCGCCGTGTTGGGCTGCAAATCTTTCAAGACAAGGAGGGAAGCATTCGGTCTGGCCTAAAAAAGGGTTGTATATCTTAAAAGTAATATGAAATGGAGTGTAAATATAAAAACATGGCAAATGGTCAATTAGTTTCAATTTTTTTAGTGTTTTGAGATTTAAAATTTTATTGAATTTTAACATAATTCAAATATATCATGAAATTAGTTTGAATTTGAATCAAAATTTCAGGATTAAAAATAGTCCGAACACCACCAAAATATGCGAAATTTCAATGAAATTCCGTTGAATTATTAACCCTATCCTTGACAGAAAATAGGCAACAATGATAAAAAAGAAAATGGGCTGCAAAAAATTCCATAAAAATAGTAAATGGGGTGTAAGTTTTCTAAATAGCAAATGAGTTGTATGTTGTCCGTCACAGATGTGTAGTCTGACTTGTCTACGCAGAAACTCATGGATGGTGGCCGCAGTCTCAATCTTATATATGCGGAAACTCTAAAAAATGCAGTTCTAGTCATCACGCATCGGGCCTAGTAAGACAAATTTAAGGGTATCATCCCGGACATGGAAGCTTGATTCATGGCGAGGGTCACGCTGGATGTAGTGTCCTGCTTTGGGCTTTGACATAGTCCCTTTTCCTGAGTGGTTACCGCATGTTGCTAGGCCGAACAACGTTCGCACAGTTTCTCATTGTGCCAGACTATACGCAAATGAAGTTGAAGATGTCAGGGCCAAAATGCGCCATCACTATACGCAGTAATCCGGAGCGACCACTCAGGACCATTGGCGTAGAAGCTGCAACCCCAAGGGCGACGTTGGGGCTGCGATCGACCATGGGCGGTGCTCGGACAGCTGTTGGATTTTGCGCCGATCGATGCTGCGGCCGGCTCGTTGTGTGCTGGAATAGGGCGGTGCTGGACCCGACGAGACACGACGTTGCAACCGGCAGGGAGAGAGTGCAACTAGCGTTGATGACGACACAGTGTGGGCGACTATCCGGTGATGCCAGTGGGGCGGGTGGCGAGCCCGCTAACGCTTGTCGTGAAAGGAAGCGAGGAACGCGGCTGGGCCGACGAAGGAAGGAAGTGGGGTGGGGGGATCTCCATCTCGCTTACACGATGCGAGGAGGACAAAGCCATTTTGCCTCATCAGACGTTTCTGACGCGACTAGTTGGGGGCTGGCGCCGATCGGCTGATGCCTAGCATCGACATCGGTCTAAACAACCACTTAAGAAGAAACCTGGGGAGTTCTGAATAGGCCTTTGGAGCTAGTGTTTGATTATTATTTTCCGAGACATAGTTTTCTTTTTTGAGGGGTTTTGAGACATACTCCCTCTGTTCCTAAATATTTGTCTTTCTAAAAATTTCAACAAGTGACTATATACAGAGCAAAATGAGTGAATCTACATTCTAAAATATGTCTATATACATCCGTATGTGGTAGTCCATTTGAAATCTCTAAAAGGACAAATATTTAGGAACAGAGGGAGTAGTTTTATTTTTAAGAATCGTTTTGAGACATAGCCTTTTTTTTTGAGAAATTTTTGAGACATAGCTAGTGTTTTGATAAATAAACTTGACTAGCTCGCGAAAGCCCAGCCCAAGATGGCAAGATTGTAGATGGGCCCTTGGGCCATTCCCCCAGAAGAATGCTCCACCCCAGCAGCAGGGAACCCTGCTTGCGCCCTTCTCCTCTTCTTGTCTCGCATCGCCTCCCCGCAGCCAAAAACCCTAGCGCACGCACCTTGCCGGTCCGGCCCCGAGACGCATTCCGGAAACCTCCGGAACGCCGCAATGGTTTGGTTTCAGTGCGAGGACTGCGGCGAGAACCTGAAGAAGCCCAAGCTTGCCGGCCACTTCCGCTCATGCTCCGCCTACAAGGTGACGCGCCATCTCTCTCTCTCTCCCGCCTGTACTTCCCCCCGCGTGGATTTAGCTTGCTTATTGGGATACTGACATGCTATTGTGCGACTGTTTGGTTCGGTTTTGTGCAGCTTTCCTGCATCGACTGCGGCGCAGTCTTCGGCCAGGACACCGTCCAGACGCACACCCAGTGCATCTCCGAGGCCGTGAGTTCCATTGCTTCTCTCCCTGTTATGAAATTTACTTTTCTGTTATAGGATTCCGATGAAGCGTGACATGTATGGCCGTACAATTTGGATAACATGTAATTTTTGGTTGCTGGATTGGGATAATTGGCGTGTAAGGTTGCAGCCTTTGGGGGCGATTAAGTGTGCCTTTTAATATACGTATATTTTTAGCTTAGGTTCTTAATGTGAATTGTTGTGTCGGCCTGCCTGGATCCCCAGTTTGTAAACCACGGAAGGGTTAGTTCAGGGCACAAATCAGTATTTCGAATGGGTTGTTCAGAGTGCGTTCTCTGTAATAGACATTGGAACAAATGCTAGTTAATTATCGGTGCTTAGGTATTCATTTCTCTGATCTATTGTCATTTCAGGAGAAGTATGGTCCCAAGGGACTGAACAAGCCATCCAGCAATGCACAGGGTAAGCCAGACAAGCCAAAGCCAAATGCCGATGTTGATATCAATGTTGGGTTGTCGACACGCCCTCCTTGGTTCTGTAGGTATGCTAACGTGATCCTCAGTATATATACAATGGTATTTGCAGGTTCTGTAGAAAAACCATGCTCCATATTTGTATCTCTGAACTAATATATTCGAAATCGTTGAAGTTTATATTATGCTACTGTTGTCACCATTCACGAACAGCTTGACTGGAACATCTCTGAAATACATGAGCGGTGAGCCTGATGCATAATAATGTGGTGCCCCTATAGGAACATACCAAAATAAGGCAATGTTGAAAGTTTTATAAGTCCCAAGCTGTGAAACTTCTTTATTATATTTTGTTGGTTGATTGTATTAGCAAATGCTTTTCATGACCGCCCTAGTTTGGGGATCTTTTCATTATGGAAACTTCAGATGTGTAGAGCACTCATGTCCTTGCTGTTTAGATAATTAATCCCTTTTTTGACCATGAAGTCAGGTCATTTCAGCTTAAGCAGTCTCAGTTTTCACTAGCATGCCTTCTAACATAACTATCCCGGGTTTGCATCTCAGCCTATGCAATACAACTACCACCAGCAAGCAAACTCTCTTGGGGCATGCTGATGGCAGGAAACATAGGGCAAAAGCAAAAGCCTTTCATGCTTCTCAGAAGCAAGAAAATGGAGCTGAACAAACTCCAAGCGACAAGGAAACTGGTGGAGCACCAACAACAGCATCTACAGAACTAAATGACGGGAAGGGTGCTGACGGTGAAAGAGATGCTGACAAAGATGTTGTGAAGAGAAAGAGAACAGATAGCACAACCTCCGAGGAGCCAGATAATGCAAAAAGACAAATTTTATCGAACTTGAAGACTGGAGAGGCGATACAATCTGAAAATGGAGAAGCGGAACTCAAAACAAAGAGCAAAAGTGCTGCAGAAGAACTGGTCATTGGTGCCAATCATCAAGATATTAAGAAGCAGAAAATCAAGTGGAAGAAAATTATTACGAAGATACTAGAGACGGTAAAGCTATATTCGATGTTGCTTTTGTCAGTTTTCTGTTGCTACCTGGTGTTACAGTTAAGCTGATGTTTTCTTACAGAATTTGGATGGAGCTATGAAGTTAAAGAAGCTACAAAAGCTAGTTATCAGGGAAGTTTTAGAATGTGGTCTGTTGAAAGATAAGGAGCAGCTGCATGCTCTGTTGATGGACAAGGTAATTAGCATGAAAGATAAAACTGCAGTTAAATACTTACTTTATCTGGAATTACTTGTCGCTCTTGGATGTATCTAGATGTATTTCAGTGCTAGATACATCCGTTGAGCAACAAGTAATTCGGGACGGAGGGAGTACCTATTTTCTCCTTGTTTGGACTCTTGCTCAATGATGCAATGATACTGTTTCGTTTGTTGTAGATAGCTTCGAGCTCCAGGTTTTCTGTGGATGGGAAGAACATTAGATTGGTGGCCAAGAATGAAGAATCATAGTCCTCAGACATTTTCTTGTGCTCTATTTAAGATGTTACTAAAATGTCAGGGAAAATGATACAGGCAGTATTATTTTTGGGGCTGTCAATTTTGGATTTGTTACGTGCCTGTGTCATTTGCAGAGAAAACTGTTCCAAGATACAGGAACTTCGTGTTTGATTTTTTTTTTTTTGGAACAGTGGGACCAAACCGATTTTGTTGCTCCAGATGCTGTGAACTTTTTCAGTATATTTGGCGTTGCAACTCCTGTGCAAATTGAAACTATATATGCAATCAAGAAATGCGAGCTGCCTGTGTTTTGGTACCGTCATATCAGCAACACAGCTCTCAGTCTGTGTACCTTGTACTCCCTCTGTTCACAATTATAAGATGTTTTGGATATTCCAGTATGGACTACATACAAGCTGAAATGTTTGCAATGTTTTGGATATTCCAATATGGACTACATACAAGCTGAAATGTTAGCAAATATAATATGTTTTGGATATTTCAATATGGACTACATATGAGCCGAAGCGAGTGAACAAACACACTAAAACATGCTTATACATATTTGATTCAGAATACTAAAACATGCCTATATACATGTGATTCAGAATAAGTTTGAATATTACATTCATCCCAAGTAATTTGTGACGGAGGGAGTAGAATAATATTGTGCTTGGAGGTCTGGAGGATGATGCATGTAGTTATGCTGCGAACGAGTCGTCCTGCTACCTCTGTTTCCGTCTTATACTTTGAAACAGTACTCCCTTCGTTCACTATTATAAGATATTTTAATATTTTAATATAATTTACATATAGACTAAAATGTGCGAACAAACACTGTAGAACATGTCTAATATACATTCGATTTAGACAATTAGAACATCTTATAATAATAAATCTGAGGGTGTATCTTTTAGGCCTTATTTGATAGCAAGGGGGAGAAAGTCCAAGGCCACAAACCCCTAGGGGTAAATTTCACGTCCACATGGGATTCCCAACCAGCCGTTGTGGGTGATTTTTGGCACAACGCTCGGAGGAACAAAT